CACGCTACCGAAGGTAGAGAAACTTCGTATTTTCTTCTCTAGAAGCAAATAATTATTTATATTATACCAATCAAATATTTTTTCTAATTTGTTGTGAAATAAAATAAAATCTTAATGGAAGTAAAATGAGAGATATCAAGTGTGTGTAGTATGGATCCCTTTTACAGCTCACAAGAGCAATATATTTTGATGAATGATATATCAAACGAAAGCAAATTTTATGGATAAGTAAGGAATCATAATTTAAAACCTTACTACAATCATAATAAAAGTTATTGAAAATACATAGAAAGCTTCAAAACATTTTAACTATAAAATGTATGGTTGATTATTCCCATAATTATTTTGAATACTTCCTTAATTCCTCACAAAATGACAAAAAAAAAAAAAATTCATCAGAATCGGACTATATTTAGTATAGACACTGCTGATAGTAATTTTATACTCATATTTTGGTTTATTATTTGTTATTAAATTAATTATTACAAACCTGAACTAATAAATTTAATTTAATTTTTTACATATTATACTGAACAATATAGTACACGATATTGTTACTATAACAATATAGTACGCACAGGCCAACTAATATTACATGTTATGTATTAAATAATAAATATGACAAATTAATCATATCCCCGGCAACTCATTCAAAATAATGGCTTTACGAATATAATTTAAGTGTTAAGTCTTACTTACTTACTTAGTTTACTTAGTTTAATTAATTACTTAGTTTAAGCCTTACTTAAATAATAAGGCTAGAATACAATATACACCTTTAAGATGTTAATTAAATTAAAAATAATATGAATGAAATATAGAACGTACAAGTGTGTGTGTGTGTGAGTGGTAAAAAAAATCTGTTTGAGACAGATACTAGACTGGATGTAGGACAGAGGGAAGGGAATCGATAGAGTCTGGTGTGTAGGGGTGTCTAATGAGACTCACTCTTGGCAGTGACTGTACCCTCTGGGTCCGACGAGGAGAAAAAAAACGGATTCATAAAAAACCCTGGACCCAGGGCTCGGGTTGAGACCGAGGATTACCGAAATTAGGGGAAAGCCTCCCTTAATTTTATCTAATTATTATATAACTAGGCGACTTGAAACCTCCTCATATCTATTATATATCCAAAACACGACAGCCACAAATTTTAATTATAATAAATGAGAATACCGCGATTTTTACTCTTAATAACAAAGTAATTATTTTTAATGAAATGTAAAAAAAAAAAAATCCTTACATTCTGGTTCATTAACCCTAAACCTTAGACGTATACATATATAGATAGAAAGATAGATAGATAGAAAAAAAAACTTTATTCTGGGACTAAGTCCCTTCAGAATAACAATAATGTACAAAATAATAGAATATTACTGGCCTGAACGTTGAAACAATAAATAAAATTGATAAAATAAAATAAAAAGTAAAGAAAACCTTAGGTGCACAAGCTATATACAAACAGATAAAACTATGTACAGAGCATTTAAAGTTATGAACAAAACAGTTAAAACTATGAACGAATCACTTGAACTATGAACAAAATTATATTTAAGGGTTGAACAACATAAAAATACACTTTGAGAAATGAAGAACGAAAAAGAGATACAATGAGTTCATTTCATAAAAAAAAACAAAAAAAAAAAAAAAACTTTACTTGAATATATATATATAAAAATAAACAGTTACTTATAATTGAATAAAAAATAACATAAAAAAAAATGTATGTATTGAAATTCCTACGTCGATAGTAGGAAATGCATGTACTATCTCTTACCAAGTGTTATGATTATATGATTGCTACACAATACATATATGATATCAATAGTTAGCTGGTATCAGACTGTTTTTGGAACAGGAATTGGAATAGGAGGTTTTTGAATGTATACAGGGAAGGGGCATGTCGAATTTTGATCGGGAGGGAATATATATATATATATATAATATATATATATATATATATATATATATATATATATATATATATATATATATATATTGCGAAGGCGGGAAATGCTTGCTATTTTTCTGTGAGAAAACTACTCAGTTCGCGCCTCTTGTCCCGGAACTTAAAAATAGGAATCTATAAAACAATTATCTTGCCTACAGTTCTTTATGGGTGCGAAACTTCGCCACTTACATTAAGAGATGAGCAGCGTCTTAAGGTTTTTGAAAATAAAGTATTGCGTAGAATATTCGGACCGAATTAGGATGAGTTAACCGGAGAGTTCAGACGGTTACACAACGCCGAATTGCGTGAACTGTATCCGGGTAATATAATTGAGGCAATTTCATCGCAGCGAATCAAATGGGCTTGTAAAGTTGTTGGGCTTAGTAACGAGAGAATTCCTAAAAGATTAATATTTGCTGTGCCGAATGGTAAGCGTCCGAGGGGTAGACCGAGGCGAAGGTGCATTAAAGCCGATCTGAAGGTACTGGGTTTGGACGGCGAACGATGGAGAGAGGTGTGTAATAAGCGATTGGTGGTGTCGGCATCGAGCCTTCGGGTTCGCTAAGCCTTTTTATTATTATTATTATTATTATTATTATTATATATATATATTGCACTCGTTAATATTTCGATAAATTACTGACCCCCATTATAGATACCAGTGTTGTCTAAATGCGAGACCGAGTCGAGTTACCTATTAGCTTATTACTAGAGAGATATTACTGTAATTTTTTTAGATATTGATATGAGAAACCTAAGCCTGAATGAAAAATTAGAAGAGTTAAATGCAAAAGTATATTGGTTACACAAATTCTTTACATTTAGTAACTAAAATTGTCAAGTATTACTAACTATTTTGCATTAAATTTTATTTTAAAAAATCGATTTTTTTACCAGTCTTGGTCTTGGTCTTGCAACAGATAGGCAGTGTTGGTGTAAAGTGCAAGACCAAGACCGATTTTAGACAACACTAATAGATACAAATGACGATCAGTCAGAGATTACCAGAGTAATTTCTAAGCAATAATAATTACATATACAGTAAATGTACTTTATATTACTTTGTGAATATTGAGCAAAAATAAAATTATATTTCATTTTCAATTTTTTTTTTTTCTTTAATTTTTATTCACAACTAAGTGTATCCCTTAAGGTCTGTCATTGTGAGTTACCAAAAAAAAAAAAGTTTAACTAAAGAAGTTTTGAAATACTTTATATTTATTTAAAAATTTGTTTTATGTGTTACTTACATAGTTTAATTAATAATGACTGGTATTTAATGAAACCTAAAATACATTTATTGTACTTTTTACATTGCTGAAGAGGGGAAACGTCCAATAAATAACTAACAAAAGTTAATTTTAATTTTTATTAACTGACCTTAAGGCATACACTTACGTGTGAATATAAATTTATATTTCATATTATTAATACCGACTTGCTGATGTTTTCGCATCTCTGGTGTGTTCTTAAGCACATACAGTAGCTTTTTTAATTCTAAATTTACACACATGTATATATATATATATATATATATATATATATATATATATATATACATTGAGATAAACAGAAACACGAAGAGACCACGCGTCGTAGCCCATTGTATTGTTAGACCTGGCTTAGACTAGATCTCAGCTGGGAGTTCGGTTTTACTTTCGTTTGAGCAGACTCTCACTACTAAAGAGTTGGTATACGTCCAACGGGTCTTCCCTTCTTAGTGTTCTCCCATTCTGTTTTAGAAGTTCTCTATCCAGTTTGCATTGTATAAATTATATCCAATGTGTTAATAAAAATGTAACATAAGGAAAAGCTTCGAATATAGTTATCCTATAAAAACTAAATCAATGAAGTGACCATGTTAATACTAATTCCAAGGTGAGCTGATGAATAAGTCGTATTAACATGTTTAATTAAAAATTCTCGATGGAAAATGAAAGAAATGAATATTAATGATGGCGATAAAAATGTAGCAATAAGTTTAATGTAAGGAAGAAGAAAATTTTTTAAAAATTACCCCAAAATTTATTGTTCAACATTTACCATTCCAATTAAAATAATTTCTCATTTTATATTGTTTTTACTTTCTTACTTATGTGGCAGCACTACAAAATTGACAGAAAATTATTAGCGAAACTTTTAAATATTAAATAACAAACACGGGATTTTTATCATATTATGATAAAGTATATCATAATTTTATTGGACAGTGTTTTCATATATTTTAATTTCTATTAACTTAAAATTTAATTTTTAAAAAAAAATATATATATTTTTTTTTGTAATGGAGTATCTTTGTATTATAAGATCTGGAGGAAAAAAAATAGTTAATCACAAGTTGAATCCGAAACCGTTCAACTTACTTTATACATAAAATTGCATTGAATAGAACAATGAAAATGACAATATATTATTATATGTTATCAAGGAAATAAATAAATATTAACGCATCATAAAAAAATTAGCTTTAATTAAAAGGCTTAAAGTTCCAAAATAAAATCAATTTATACTATTGTTTTGGGATTTTATTATAACGTTGAATGAATAGTTATTCAATGATATTTCAGAGACTATTTACTCATATTTTAGTAACGACACTTTATTGAAAATGTACGTAATTTAATGTAAAACAAATCCATTTGATAAATTCAACATATGACATTTACTCTTCGAAAAAATACCTGCCCTCCAGTTTATGTTGTCAACAACTGAATCCCCAAAACGGACATAGTAAATTAATCTTAATCTTGGACTAACCTCCAACAGAAAGACGATATCGTGCTCTCATGTAAAATGGAATGGAAGAACTATAACGATCCAAACCATTTTACCCAAGTTTTTTTCGAAATAAAAAAAAAAATAAAAAAAAAATCGAAATAAAAAAACAACCAAAACATTAAACCTTCCAATCAAAATTATTACAACTTATAAGAAAGCTTGGTACTTAACTAAAAAAACATATAACGAATGACCCTTTACCAGAAATTTTTGACAACTTTAAATGGACATAGCAACAGTTTAATAAGAGACAGAGCTGCAGTTGAATATGAGAAAAGGCGCTGGATGAGAGATCTCCTTCTTTGAAAAATCTAAGTAATTGAATCAAGCCATGGAAGAGGTGCTGCTTGGTACTTTCCTTCCACATGCCTGACACGTCATTATTTTGCCAGCTGAATTGCTTTTATTACTTATTATTATTATTATTATTACTTTCTTTTATTGGATATTTCCGTTATTGAGTTCTTCTCAGATTGACTCAGAAACAAACTACCCTCTGATTTTATAAGGACTAACTTAGCGTTTCCATGAAGCTGGAACTTCTATTGGTGGAAATTTTCCAGTACGCCCATAGATACACTGGAGAAGAGGATCTAAGGATAACAAAGGATATCCCCCGTTTCCCAGTAGCTGGAGGCAGTAACCCAGGACCTCTGACCTCGGAAGGACATTATTCCTTAAAGCCGTCCAAGGGGTCATCCCGTAGGTTTGGGGTTTCCCTTTCAATATACGGCAAACTGTTAGTTGGGAATTAGCTTTTGTTATTGTTCAAGTCGTTGTTGTAAGAATGGTAGTTATTGTTGAATATTTTGGTCAATCATTAGCCTCAGAAAACAACTCGGTAAATTTACGATGACGTAATGTTGTTAACGGATTGAATCATACTTGATAAAATAAAATAAAAAATGACACCACAATAGCATGTATTGTATAAATATCTCAAATCATTTACTAATCTTCGAGTACAACCATATTTCTTAGTATTCAGATAAGATAAATGGGTTTTCATTTAACATTTGTAAAATAAAGATTGATTTGGTCAGCCTCACTAGCAGACCCAGGATTTAATTTTGAGATTTTTAAAAAAATTAATATATTTAAATAACGGTAATAAAGTGGAAGAAAATAAAACTACCTAAATTAAATTATGTTTAAGTGTTCCTTAAAGCAGAAAAAACAAACACGGTAGTTATAGGGACAATAAAGCTTTTAGAGATAAATTTCTAATATTTTTTTCTTGGCACGGGCTTAAATTTAGTAGTAGTAAATTTATAATTTACATAATAGTTTTAAAAAATAATATATTGTTATTGTTTAAGTATTAAGCTCAGATCACTTACATAAAAAAGTATAGATCCATGAAAAAAAAAAATTTATATTGGGGGCTTCAGATCGAAAACTCCCCTCTCCCATATGTCCCCAAATAGTCAGCAATAATGCTCAACCACTAGCATTTACAGAAAACTTAAACATTTTTTTAAAGAAATACTTGCAAATTAATAAATAAATAAAGAGAGTTGTTGAGTATTGGAGCTGTTAAAGATTCTTCAGATCGTTTTAGGAATTTTATATATATATATAAGGCATAATGTATTAAACTAACTCATGAGTCAATAAAAAAAAGATGACCACAAGGTTGATTTCAGATCATCCAATAAAAATTAATTAAACTATCATTCTTTGTTTTTTAAATCAGTGATCAATCGATCGAGTTCTTTGAATCAGTTGAAGATGGTAACTCAGAAAAACTCAAACCTTCTCTCTAAACAGATACTAGACTGAAACGACAAGAAACCGCTCGATGTTTCAGACTACTTCAACAGTTATTAGACAAACGCTGTAAACCAATTAATTACAAAAGACTCATATACATGACTATAATAAGGCCTATTTGGACTTATGGAGTTGGGCTATGGGGCGCCATTAAACCATCGAATTCCTCTCGTATCCAATCCTTACAATCCTAAACCTTTCGTAAAATCCTCAATGCTCCCTACTTTGTTACAAATAAAACCATCCATAATGGCCTTAATGTTTCTTATGTTTCAGATCTGACCCAATCCAGATACTTATCCTTCGATAATAAACCTCAGAATCATCCCAACCCTCTCGTTTCTAACCTTGCTTCCTCTTCAATTCCTCATAAACCTCCGAGGCGTCTGAAAAGAAGATGGCCCCGTGATCTCCTAATGTAGACATATCACTTGAGTGCTACCATTGGATAGTTACTCAGCAAGTGTTTTCCTGTCATTCATTATATACATATATTCAAATTCACTAGATGCATTTATTTAATACAGTTGTAAATATCATTATGAAATAATAATAAAAAAAATGAGCAGTTTTTGTAAATCCTGCAAAAATGTATTACTATCGATATTCAATCCTAATTTTTAGTTGCTATGTTTAATGCTAATATTTACTTATAATAATCGATAATCCAATACATAAACAGTGCAGATGTCAAAGTTTGAAATAATTAATTTGTTTAATACAATTACTAAGAACAATATGATATAATGATTGAGGAAATATATAATATTATCTGCTAAATTATAAACTAAAGTTCTAGGTATATAAAAAAAAAATTAAATAACCTAGAAAAATTCGGGAAGATTTGGCGAATTGGAAGAGAGCCAGCGATCTATATTGGCAGACCGCGAACATATACAAATAGCGTTCGGTATCGATTATTTCGAAGGGATCGACATGGATGACACAACCGAAGCGGAGTACGCGATACTTCGGCGATCGAAGACGTCTTTAGAACATTAGCGATGGTATTTAAATCGCTCGAGTCAATTTGGGGCACAAACAGTACGCCTTTGGCATGGCCGCCCCTCGCCCCGCACGTGCCGCTATCTCTACCAAAAACCTTCTGATACATTGCGAAGTCTCGGCGGTTCTATTTGTGAAAAAAAATATGGTCACCATCAGCAGCCTAGTTCGCCATTATAACTCGTACTGTATAACTCACTCAGAGCAGCGGAGAGATTTTATTTAATATTCATAATAATATATTGAGATTGAATCCTAGAATCTACCAGGGCGATTGAATCGGTGGAAAGAAAGCCACACAAGTTCACTAAATAGAAAAAAATATTAAAGGTGTGTGCCTAGATTTAAATAGTATATCCTATTCTAAAGGAGAGTTCCTCCTCAACGAAAGCAGCAAGACATAAAATTCTTTTCTTTTTGTAATAAAATCGCTCTCAAAGGATGGTTTCGATATAGACTTAAAATCTGTTCATTGGAAGTAATAATGGAAACATAAGAAATCTATGTCACAAACCTATCACTAATTTCCTTAATTGTGACAGAAAGTAATATTATTCAATAAAGAAAAGTTCTTTGATAGATTGATATATGATTCTTGAATAAGAACGGTAGCTCTTTTCTCGAAAGTACTGAGCAAGAGAAATCCAGATCTATCTCCGCTCCTTTAGCAGTTACTTCTTAACTTAACTATTTCATTGATTTGACTGATGTAGTCGCTTTCGGTTCCGATCTCCATTTATCAATTATCTTTTTGGGAAAGGATGAGTTCTCTCATGATCAGCGAATTATTATGATTTGATTCCTGAAAAGAGCAGTGTTGCATTCTCTCGACCATTTGATGGCCTTTCAACACAACTCACACCAATAAAAAAATATCAATTAATTATAGACAGCACACCACTTAAGACCTTTTACTCTTGTTTGCATACACATATATAGAATATGTGTTGAAATGTCTTGGGGTAGCTTCTTGGTTGTTTTTTGGAAGTTGAAGTAAGATGTGCTGGGTATGATTAGTGTTGCCTAAATGCGAGACCGAAACGATTCTTGGTCTTGCAAAATCAGTCTTGGTTATGGTCTTGGTCTTGCAAAAGAGTCTCGCAACAGTCTTGCAGTTACTTATTAGCTTTTTACTGTAGAGATATTACTGTTTTTTTTTTTTTTTAGATAGGAGAAATTAGAGGAATGAATGAAAAAAATATATTGTCAATTAGCAACTATTTTGCCTTAATTTTTATTTAAAAAACCGATTTTTTTTACCAGTTCTGGTCTTGGTCTTGCAACAGTTAGGTGGCCTTGGTCTTGGTCTTGTGCAGATTTGGGGTAACACTAGGTATGATATGTATTTATGTAATCACGCCTTTTTTTTTTTTAATTAAAATAAATTTTATCGTTAATATAGCATATTATTTTATTAAATCCATCACTTGGATTCTACAAGAACAAAACAATAAACAATTCCATGGATGTCAGTATATTTGACATTGCAAGTCAAATAATTGTACAGGCGTTAAGTGCTTAATTTGACTCACCTTGACCTTTAGGTCAATGCCTTTGATTTTTTGCAAAAGGGAAAAAAAGACGACCTAATCGAGAACAGCAAAAAAAAAGGGTCCTTCCCCTTTCTTAAAAAAAAAAATGTAACTAGCGTTGAGTAATTTAATTGGTAGCGCTGTGGATATGGGGGCAGTTAAAATACAATAGATCAGAAAGGAGAGGGCAAAAAACGAAACCGTAAGCCGGAGGAAAAAAGACAAATAAAAAATGGCTCATTGAGAAGTCTCATGCCGGAGGTTTTATTTTTTGCTTGGGATGCAAATTGTGTATTCCGCAGAGTGTGTAGAGTGTAAACAAGGAAGGCTTTTATTATAAATCTGCCCTCCTCCCCTTCTTCTCTCCTCCCCCCCCTCAAGGCCGAAAAAGCGGGAGTAGGTGTCTTTTGGCGGGGACTGTAGCCGCTGTTTCCTTTTTTACCGGCTCCGTAGACATTAATTGCTTTTTAATGACCTTTCTCCCTGCGAGTGGTCAGCTCTGGAATGCCCAGGGCGTTTTCCTCTTGGTCGAGTTTTCTTCTGCCCGGTCCTTCGCTGGAGTTGTGGCTGCCCGCACGTCGGGCTTACTAATGGTCCTCAGCGCATCCAGGTCTAACCGAATCTATCCTTAAATATTAAGCAATATGTACAATAAAATTTATTTTAATGGCCTATAAATATTACTCAAAAAAGTTGGATAGGAATATCTTCCGGACCGTAATTCATGATTTGGAAACTTTCAAGTCGAAACAACCACAAGGATTAGAAGAGTCTTGACGCATGAAAGAAAACAACAGCGCCCTTTTGAAGGATTACTGGAGAGGAAGAGAAAATTAAATAGAAAAAAAACTAAATTGTAAAGTGATGCCAATTAGAAGAAAAGTTTTTTAAAAAAATCCAAATTATTTTAAACTTATAATATAGATGAAAAATCGTAAATCATGACATTTATCCTACGAAAAAATAACTGTCATCAATTCATATAAAAATCAAACCTCTAAAATGGACATGTCAGACTTCATCGAATCTATCTTCGACAGCAAGATTATTTGCAATAAAAAGACTTAAAAATTTTCAAAACTGATTTTGGAATATAAAGGTACTGCTAATAAAACCCACATTCAAAAAGTTCCAATTTTCAAATAAAGAAAATAATTGTTCCGTGCGCTTGTCAGTGAACAAATAACAATATAATTTTTAAAAAATAGTCAATACAATGCATTATGAGAGGAAGCAATTAATTTTAATTTATTAGATTTAAATTAATAGACAAAACATGTGTACGAATTACAATTGTATGTTTCTTTGCTAAAAATGGCCCGGTATCTACGGTGTTATTTTATGTTTTGTAGAGACTTTTAAAGCGTTTCTAATTATGTTGTGTATAACAACCATGAATTATATACTTTATAAGTTATGCGCAAATAAAATTTTATTTTTTTTCATAACTTTTTTCCTGTCTTCGGAGAGATGTGCTTACTTTTTGTACCCAAACCAACCAACAGATAAGACATATACAGCTGGAATTCTCATAGCAGACATTTCTATCCTTAACTAAATCAAACCAAGAAAAAGAAGATAGTGGATCCATATACTTACTCCTTTTCCTTTCCAACGTTAAAAAAATCTGAAATAATACAAAAAAATCCTAAAACTTGAGTGGCAGCAACGCCTTAGTTGAAAAGCAGTCTACTTGTCATGACTTGATATAGTTGTTGCCAACTAGTCTTGTAAATTAATATTTAAATAAAAAAAAATACTTGAAAAAATAATAATTGGTAAATGTTATTCCGCAATTTGAAAACGGTATCCTAAGAAATTTCAATTAGTTGCTCTGAGCTCATACTGCTAGTTAATTAAGTCAGGTAGGCAATTCTACTGGATAGAACAGGTGCGATTGTATCTGGAATCCAGCCGTACATTAATAATAATAATAATTAATAATAATCCGTGAATAATACAACCAACGATATCTGGAATAATATAATACGTTGGCTGCACCGGACGGCTAAATTGAATTGATGCCCTGCAGATACCCCGAGTCGCTGATAGTTGAGCGCTATAATCCCACCGACTTATAAATTGCATCCTAGCTACATTTTTTTATAATTCAAGATCGGATGAAAAAAAATATTTTATATAAAAAAAAATATGTTCATACACACACGGTATGTAATGCATATTTCATTCTTAAGTAGGCGAGGAATATTCCTAAGAGAACATGAACTTAAAATAATTCAAGACAAAAATAAAAAAAGTCTACTGAGTTTTGAATTTACAATCAGCAATCTTATATTTATTAATTTAGTCAAAACTATATATATATATATATATATATATATATATATATATATATATATATATTTAAAATTATTTATTTCGTAATATAATATTCGACCACATAGACAATAATGACAGTGAGATAAGACCACATTCACACTATATGTACAGAAAATATGAAATAAACAGAAGAAAATAACAACTAAATAATAATCAAAAAGTATATATAATAAATAAAAATAAAATTACAACATTTATTAGAAAGGAACCGATAAAAAAAATGGTTAACAATATCTTAGCTCAAGTATCTTTAATAGAAAATTGAAGTTGACATATAATATTGGAAATAGAATACGACGTTTGTAATTTTAAAATTAATTTTAAAAAAATAATTGTTGACCAATAATCTGATATTAAACCTAGAATAAATTTGATTTTTGTTCTTATTTTTAAAGCTTCCAGATTTTCTATTTAAAAATTTGATAGATTTTGCCCGAAGCGCTCATTGGTTCCTTTCTGTTAAATGTCGTTGAATTTAAAATAAAAAATGATTACCTCTTTAAAATCCTCGGATGCGGACGCAGGAACTGGATCCACTGAAATAAAAATATGTCAATAACATTATTTACAAACAGTAAAATAAGTTAATAAATAAAAAATAAGCACTTCGAATAAATTAAAATATTTTATTTTTAAGGAACAATAATTAAAGCTTTAAAATACACATTACTTTGTAGAAAACCAGCGATACAACATATCCAGAAGAATGTTTTTAGGATTAATGATATGAGGTCATATATTTCCGGATTTATATCATTCAAGTAGATACATTTTCATAAATTCAACAACCGAAAATTTTTTCCAAATCTAACCACAAAAAAATATTACACAAAAATTATTTTAAGGTATTATGAAAAATAAATTCTAAAAAATCTTGTTCGGATTATCTCGGTATACAAATTTATATAGGTTTGTATAAGATAGAAATAAAAAAAATATATTCTTTCTCGTTACTCCCGCCACCAAACGTATTTTAACATTCTATTAAGTACCACAAATTACATAAAATATATTTAATTTATTATAGGAAAATATTTTGGTGATGAGACTATTTCCCAAGAATCGAGCGTCTTGTTCTTTTGGGCAGCGAGACTCAATTCAAGTAGTTAAAAGGAACAACCGGGACCCACTTCCAGCTCTAAGCTACCTCATTAAATATTCTGGAATTCAATTTGAGGTCATCCATTTTATAAATACTTCAATGATGGGAATAACATTGTAGCTTCCGCATTTAAATTTATTTACGTGTCTTCATTCCCCGGCGATAATGAGATCTTCGACATGATGTTTATCAATCCTATACATGAACATTTCAATCTATCAAAGGACTGACGAGGCCGCTCAAGATAGCTCGTAAATTATTTGCAAATGAATTGTGTTGTAGAGCTTCATGACATGATAGACTCGGATATCCAACAGCTGCCATTCGTCACGGAAACAGAGGATGACTGATGCGGAGTGTTTGAGAATAAGAAAACCATCTGACCAGGAAACTTGGTATTGCTGGGCCAATTATACGCCTAGCTCTCGTGCAAATATTAGGTTACGTAATTCGTACAACCTTTTTTTTCTCCTATTAGAGTGGTGTAAGCTTCTGTCAAAAAGTAAATACATATATATAAATGTTAAAAAAAGAAAATGGAGGAAAAATATTGAAAAACGAGGATCTATTCCTGGTTCGTCCTTGACATTGTTATCATCCCATCTACATCAACCTGCTCGGCTTAATAACAGTAATTTAAGCAAAAATCTCTGAAGGAGCTAATCACTGATTATAATTTGTTCGGAATTCGCAATCTGTTGCCCAACAGTTCTTTTGGTTAGTCCTTTACCGACAATTAAAAAGAGTGTACTTCTAACAATATTCATTTTTTTTTGTATATATGTTTATATAAGCGTACCGTAAATTTTCGATAACAGTGTATTCCTTTTAGGATATTTAATTATAAATATAATTATATTTGTATATATATAATGTGAAAAAACGGGTTCTTATTTTATTTATTTCCTCCCAAAAAAAAAAAAACATATCACAAATATAAACTATATTTAAACAGTACAATAACATATGTCATTAATTTGCAATACATAATTTTTTTTCAATATTCTTCATTTTACTGAGGCAAAAACAAAATAATAAACAAAAATATGTATATCGTTTTTTATGTACATAAAAAAAAAAAAAGAAATTGTAGGTTGAAGGCGCCTTTAGTGAAATTTTACTAGGCGTTCCCTATAATGACCAATAAATTTAGGATCTCTAGTCAGCTAGTTGTAATCTTTCTAATAAAAACAACAGGAAGATAAAAATCCTGACGGCTTTGAATGAGAAATGCGGATAGCACTATTTAATTTTGTTTTACTCCTCTTTACTTCCGGCTTCCGTCATGAGTGTTTTAGCAGTCCAGCAGATGTCTTATTTTGAGTTTGTATTTCATTCATTGATAAAAGACGGGGTATTCTTCGTCACAGAAAACTAAAATATTTCATAGAGAGCTCTTTCCCTTATTTCCCTTTCGAAAATCTCAGCGAAATTGACACCAATCGAATTGAAACTCGACAGACCCATCTTAAAGGTAAGGACGACCAAGGAATTACTCAAAGTGCTTTAGAGACCATACCAACTTTTTTTTGCATTATATATATTTTTATATTTATATTTATATAAAATATCTTGGGAGGGGTGAGGAAAGGTTTGTCCGCCATTGGTCTTGCGGGAATGGGCAACCCCGACTTCAACATATACTTTGAATTGGATTGAAGAGAATCAGTTTTTGGAATGTTGATATGAGATGTTCTGTCATTCTTCTGGATTTATCATTGAAGGAAGATAGTCCAGTGTTCTTCATATTGTGGATGATAAATATTCAGGATGCAGTCATTATAAAGTTTTTATTGGTGCCGGCGTTTAAACCGAGTACTTGAATACCTCCAGTGCTCGAAACACGCTATGATGATGACCCACATGTTTGCGTCCTGAATATTTATCACCCATTCTGGATTTATCATATATGGTCTTATTTTTTTTTCTGTCCTGATAATTCCTGATTTAGGAAAACGTTGACTACTTAGCTATTTATTGGTGTTCGAGATGCTTGGAGTTCCTGATGCTGGTTATGGCTGTTGAGCCTTGTGTAAAACGTACTATGGAGGCAGGACTCATCTAATACTGTTTATTATTATTATTTTCTATCCCATCACTGACTGACGCAGAAATGATGTTGCATCTTGACACAGACACTGTTCGTTCGCTTGGGGTGCGTCGAGACTGCCCCAAGCAAGCCTAGACTAATTATAGACAGCTGGGAATGTGGGAGGCCCTATTTTAGAATGTCGTCGGTAGAGCAGTTTTTTAACCAGCCAGTGCTCACATATGTTTCTTTTCAATGCTCTCTCTCCCTTCGCGACCGATTTAACTCCACGCACATCCTTCAAGGCTGTTCGAGTTTTATTTTAGTAAAGGGGTCCTTCTGAAGAGTTTATGTACAATACCAATGCAGGCTTAGCGCACCGCAGGTTCACTGATTCCACCTGTGTGAAATACCTGAAACCCAGGTTCCAAAACGCAAAGGTAATTAGTCAGGAAGAAATAGAAAAAAATACATATACAAACATTAAAGTGATATCCAAGAGCAAATGTTAAACTAATTAAATAGACAAAGTTTTTCGAACTCAAGATCGAAAACGCTCCAATTCCAAGAATTTTCATATATGAAATAGTTGTAGGTTACGATGAGATAAAGCTATTCACGAAGTTTTAGATATAATGATTTGATAAAAAAGGGTCTATACCACGGACTAATAATTTTTATTTGAATTAAGAAAAAAGTGAAAATGTATAGAAAATAAAATGTCCTCTAAAATTAATCTTAATCACCATATACTCTGACATTTATTCAGAAAAAAGTTCAAAAATAACTTATGTCAAATACTGCTCATAAGGAATTTTTTTTTTCTCTCAGTCTCTTCTAGTACTTTCATGTTCAAACATTTTTCTATATAAAGCTATTTACAAAGTTTCAGGCGTAGACATTTTGACAAAAAAATTAAAACTGTAAGATCTAAGACGTACAGACTCCAAAATTTAATTCGGACAACAAACCTATCTTTACGCCTAAAGTTTCTAGTCTATACAAGTATGATACGGCCGGCTCTGTTGTATGGTGCACATCTGTTCGAACATATCAGCTAAACAACTGGGAAAAGATTACAATATTTCCAAAATGGAATAATTAGAAAAATTATGAGAGGTACCACGCTGCAGAGAAAGAAGACATTGGATATACAAGCAACACTAAATTTATCAACAATAAAAGAATTTCTCGCAAAACGAAAAAAATCATTTTTCGGAAAAATCCCAACAATTGGCAAACCCTCTTTTCAACAATATATTACCCGAAAAATTTACAAAACGGCAACAAATCGCATGAGATAGATGTTTTATTAATTTAGTTGTAAGCTCTAGAGGATTAAGTCAACTCAAGCCTGAGGTAAACCACATCACCGACTATATTACAGATGTAGAACAAAATACTCAGAAACGACTAGAAAGTAGACCTAACAATGCTTTTAAGCAGTAAAAGGATTATTATGAAGACAATGAAAATCCAAGGATTCAAGACAAAAATAAATAAAAAAGGGGTTATGAAAAAAAAAAAAACATTTAGGTGGATTTTAATAATTTGATAAAAAGGGATCTGTACCATGGACTATACATTTTTGATTATTAGAAAAATGTTAGAACATGAAAGTACGAGAAGGGAGTGAGAAAAAGAAATGAAACAAAATTGATAAGTCGACTATTCCGTTTGAGCGATATTCAACACAAATGAAATAGTTGTAAGTTACGATGAGATGAAGCTATTCACAAAGTTTCAGGCGGATGTAATTAATTTGATAAAAATGGGTCTGTACCACGTACTATATCTGTAATTATAATTGTAATATAATTTCGTATGAATTTATTTGTAACATAAATTATTGATCATTAGAACAACATTTGAACATGAAAGTACGAGAAGGAAGTGAGAAAAAAAAATGAAACAAAATTGATAAGTCGACTATTCCGTATGAGCTATATTCAACACAAATGACACAAATGAAATAGTTGTAAGTTACGATGAGATGAAGCTATTTACAAAGTTCCAGCCGGATGTTATTAATTTGATAAAAAAGGGGTCTGTACCACTTACTATATCTGTAATTATCTTGTAATATAATTTCGTATGAATTTATTCGTAACACAAATTGTTGATCATTAGAACAACGTTTGAACATGAAAGTACGAGAAGAGAGTGAGAAAAAAAATTTATCAGTCGACTCAACATTAGTTATTTGTGAACTTTTTTCTAAATAACTGTCAGAGGATATGGTGGTCAAGGGTAGTTTTAGAGTAAGACATTTTTTTTTCTAGTCTTGTTCTAAGGAGATCCAAGAAATCCAAGGTGGATTGAGAAGGATGTTGAGAAGCCGGGACGTGATTCTGAGAAACGGTGGGTAGGAACCCCGGCGTGGGTTGGAGTTGAGAGGGTGTTTGTCGGGAATAGTTGTAGTGCTAGGGGATGGAGATGGCGGGCAAGGTCATTGCCAGGCTACCTGAGCGACCCTCGGAGGGGCAAAAAAAAAAGCTCCTCCCAGCCACTCCTAGTCATCAGGAAATTATATCTCTCCGCGTTGCAGCTTCCTTTTTAGTCCGTTTTTAGGGGGCAGTTTCCACAAACATCTGCCTAGCACAATGCTGTCTTGTCCGGGGCTGATTGAGTTTTATTTTTGGGTCTTTTCCGTCTCCCCTCCGATCGGGGAATCTCATGAGGGGGTCGTATGCAAAAATCCCAACGGACGCTCTATGAATAAGTACTCCCCATAAACTAGGAATCCTAGCCCCTATATATTATAACGGTCATCTATCAGTATTAAATTATTTTTAACTGAGCAGTAAACAAAGTCTCAGGACTTTTTTTAAAAATGAATTAAACTACTCAAAAGAGATGCGTCATAAAATTTCCGGGATATTGTCACAGTACATACTCCTCATAGTATTTTTTTATTATTTTATTTCTTAAAGACATTTACAACTTTATTAAATAAATACATCTAGTAAATTAGAACATAATGTATATAATGACATGAAAAACACTTGCTGAATAACTACCCAATGGTAGCCTCAGAGGGTTATCAGGAATTGAAGAGGAAGCAAGGTTAGAAACGAGAGGGTTGGGATGATTCTGAAGTTTATCATGGAAGGATAGGTATCTGGATTGGGCCAGATCTGAAACAAAAGGAACTTTAAGGTCATTATGGATGGTTTTATTTGTAACAAAGTAAGGAGCATTGAGGATCTTGGATTGTAAGGATTGGATACGAGAGGAATTCGATGGTTTAGTGGAGCCCCATAGCTCAACTACGTAAGTCCAAATAGGCCTTATTATAGTCAAGTATATGAGTCTTTTGTAATTAATTGGAAGATTAGAGCGTTTGTCTAGTAAGTGCTGAAGTAATCGGAAACGTCGAACGTTTTCTTGTCGTTCCAGTCTAGTATGAGGATTCCAAGTTCGTTGTTTGTCCAGATGGAGTCCTAGGTATCGGATTTGCTCAACAGGGATAAGTGGATTATTGTTAAAGGAAACTGTAGGACAGGAAGTTGTTGGTTTACGACTCATATTATTTAAAAGTAACATATTAATATCGCATTAAATTGTATGTAGAGAGCTTCAAAAACATTTAAAAGAGAACCATGAAAAACGATGGCTGGAGTGAAAAAGAGACTTCAGTGTAAATGACCCCAGTGATCGAAACACTCAGATAAATAAATAAAAGAGACCCGCAGAAGCTCAAATATCCATTGACGGATATGTAATTCACAAACTTTCAATCTTTGATAACTAACAAACATAGTAGATAGTTGTACAAAATACATTTTTTTTTTCATTAATCGTTGTTACTGAAGTGCATAGGAAGAGAAAGACTACTCTTTTTTGGAGATTCTCTCCTTCGCCATGTAGGCAATACGGAATTTTCACGGGCCAGTGGGTGATGGCGTGGGATTAATGCCAGAGTTGAAAATCCTCTAGACACCAGAACGCGAACTCGTAATAATTTTATCAAATTATCTTTAATCTGGGTTACTGGGCAACGCACGGTGCTGCACACACGCATTAGCCCGCTCGAACAAACCGCCTCCTAAAAGAGAAAGACTACCCGAAAGCCTTAATAAATATTAATTAAATTGCGACACTGGCGGGTGATTAGAGGGAGAAGGGAGCTTGCGAGCTAAATCCAACCCCTAAAAGTCGATATTTTTATTTTCATTGATCCAGCTGAGCTAAACAATTGAAACAAAAAAATTACTCGTTTTATATTACAACGCATCTTTTTTACCTACTAAATATACAATAAGCAAGTAACAAGAATAAAATATTATCCCTAAAAACATTGAACACAATTTTATTGGATTTCGACACTAGCGGATCCAGGATTTAATTTTGGGAGGGGCTTCAGTTCGAAAGATTTTTTTTTATAAAAAAAAAAGATAATTACTTTAGAAAAAAAGAAAGAAACTAACTATATACATGAAATGGTGTTTAAGTGATTGCTAAAGTCCTTTTAAATGAAATTACATGAACAATAATACTTTAAGAAATAATTTTTTTCCATAAAACATGGTTGTATTTTACCATTTTGTGAGGGGCTTCAGCCCCAAAAACCCCCCGTAGATCCGCCAGTGGATTTCGATTATGTCTATCTTATTCTTAATCTTCACTTCTTTTTTCAGATTAAGCATTAAGAGGGTAACAGCATTAAAAACTGTTAATCAATGAACAAAATCAAATCAAATTTTAGTTTATTCGTGACTTCAAAAATCATTTTCCTTAATTATACTCTTAATTACGAGGAAATTAATAAAATCTCAGTGAATGAGTTCGATGATCCGATGATGAGGTTTCAGTGCATTTTTTGTCGGGGCCACCGTTAGCCGGGACTGTATCCATTCTTATTCTAAACAGGGAGAAAGATCTCGACCAGTTTTTTTTTTTATATGTAATCTGCCGCTTTTTTACTTCTGTTTTTGCCTCATTTTTTCCCAAAACGACACCTGACTTTGAGGAAGTAGGAAGAGACATAATGGAGTCCTTGCACCCTCCAATTAGCCCAGGACGTAGCCCAGGACGGACTTCGTGATCGCCGCAGCTGTGGCAGGTAGAACCGACACCCACCACCCTCTGCCAGATCGGCGCACCCCAGCCACCATCGCTGTTCGGAGTATTGACTTTTTTTTAATTCCCCCCTTAATCACCACCCCGCTGGGAGGGGAGCCCTCAAGATGCTAAACAACAATTATTCCGACCCTCGCTAAAAATCTTTAAGCTCAAAGCTCTCCCCCGTAAAGCGCCTGAATTTTTTCACTTGCACATTATTGCTAATTCAAAGTCTTTATGTCCTTTTAGCCTTTATAAAAGAGATTCGCGTGCCAGAATGAGTTCAATATAACTTATTTCGACCTTAACAGTAACATCTGTGCAATAATTAACCGTCTATTTTTTAAAACATTAAGCAAACAAATTGACAATATACATTTTAAATACACAATACATAGTGTTGCCCAAATGCGAGACCGAGACGAGTCTTGGTCTTGCGCAAGACTCTCGCAACAGTCTTGCAGTCACTTATTAGCTTATTACTATAGAGATATTACTGTAATTTTTCAGATAGGAGAAACCTAACTAAGCCTGAATGAAAAATTAGAGGAGTTAAATGCAAAAGTATATTGGTTATACCAATTATTAACATATAGTAACTAAGATAGTCAAGTATTAGTAATTATTTTGCCTTAATTTTTATTTAAAAAATCGATGTTTTTACTAGTCCTGGTCTTAGCCTTGCAACAGTTAAACGGCCTAGGTCTTGTTCTTGCAAAGTGGTCTTGGTCTTGCCAAACCACAAAACAAATAAATAATATTGTATTATATTTACGTAACTAATTATTATTTATAAATTTACATTTCTCTTTCTCGCTATATTCTGAACCAAAGTGCTACATTATTTACTGTCAAGCCTTACATGATAATTGTTCATATATACATTTATTAAATTATTAAATTTATGTATATATACATTTATATACATACTGTATTTATTCAAGAAATTCCTGGGGGGTAGGAAAAAAAAAAAAAAAAAAAAAAAAATGATAATTGTTCAGTATGGAGAAACTTAAAACTTTTTTTTTCTAATAGTATGATTTTTTTTTCCTTTTTGTTGTAACAATAGAGATTTTGTTGTTCTATTTTTATTCCTTCCGCAAGAGTTTTAAAATGTTTGTACAAACAATTCAATTTTTTTCTTCATAGTAGTTTTAATTTATCTTATCAAATATTTTTTTTAATTACTATCAATAGACCCTTATGACTATAATAACAATAATATTCACTATATTATCAATTCAGCCAGTAGCGGATATAAATATAATTTTGGGAAGAAGGTTATTTATTTTATATATATTTTTTTTAATAATGATAATAACTTTGGAAGAAAAAGAAAACAAAAATACTCATACGGAATAATGTTTTATTGGTAGTTGTAAGCCTAAAATAATAATAAATAAAAACTTATAGGAACAGTGGATCTTTTTATTTATCTTGAGATAAATTTCTTATATTTTTTCTTAATACATGCTAATATTAAGTAGCTGAATATGCATTATGATTTAAAAAAAGAATATATTAGGATTCTTTAAGTCTGTATGTTGAATATCACTCTATAAACAAATATGGCCAATGAAAAAAAATAATTATATTTTCATTTTGGGTGGGCTTAAGCCTGATAGTCCCTCCTTCCTTTCTCACGCCTCCATAGATCCAATTGAACTAATTTTAACTAGACAAAATATTATTAGAGTTTATTTTATTTTATTTTTTTTTTGTTTATTTAATGGAATTTACAACTGTATACAAATACAACAAGTAAATAAGCGCAAATATAAATAATGGCATGTACAGGCTTGAAGAGTTACTACCCAGTGGTAGCACTCTCTAAATAATTTTAAGTAAGAAGATCACGAGGCCATCTCCTTTTCAGACGCCTAGGAGGATTATCAGGAATCGAGAAAGAAGCAAGAGTGAAAACATGCGGATTTGGATGGGACTGAAGTTTATCATGAAAGGATAGATATCTAGCTCGAGCTAAATCAGCGACATATGGTACATTAAGGTCTTTATGAATGGTTTTATTTGTGACAAAGTATGGAGCATTAAGGATTTTACGGAGGATTTTGGATTGTAAGGATTGGATACGATAGGAATTCGATGGTTTGGTGGATCCCCAAAGCTCAACTCCGTATGTCCATATAGGTCTTATTATAGTTATGTAGATAAGTCTTGTGTAATTAATAGAACGTTTGGAGCTTTTGTCTAATAAGTGTTGGAGCAGTCGGAAACGTCGAGCAGTTTCTAGAGATTATTTTAAATTTCTTTTTAAGAATATAAAATTATAATTTATTTATTATTTTATATTTGAAAAAATTCAAATAATTAACACACTCAAATATTTTTAAAAATACTTTAATCCGAAACTCCGCTTTAAACGCCTTTACTTCACAAGGAAAATATACGACAGGTTCCGACTTTCCCTTGGGGTTGAGGAAAGTTAAGGTGACCGCACATCCCTCCTCAAAGTCGCAACGGATTCGTAAACAAGAAAAAGTTCATCCGCCAAAAGACAGACACAGTTGAGAACTTTTTTTTTTTTTATTCACCCCAAGAGTGTGGTAGCTTACTGTGCCTATTGTAAAAAAAACCGCAGTGGCCAGTTTATTGCGGTGTCTGTTGTGAACTCGGAGGCACGGGCCATACTACACCCTATCCGCAAAAACTATACAAAAAAAATTGCACGCTCAGTCTCCGGGCTGTCTAAGGGCAAGTGCAAAGCTTGACCTTAACCTAAGCGGTTCACACAGGAGGAGAGGGGGAGGGGAATGGAATATTATATAAATAGATAAATATATATATATATATATATATTTATTTATATCATATTCCATTCCCCTCCCCCTGTTATATATATATATATATATATATATATATATATATATATATATATATATATATATATATATATATATATATATTATATATAAATATATTATAATATATTATAAATAATAATATTTATTTATAAGAATAATGATATAATGATTTAATTTTGGGGGAGGGAGGGGCTTCAGCCCGAAAGCTTTTTGTTCATAAAAATAACGATAATTACTTTGGAAAAAAAAAGAAATTAACTACCTATATGAAATGGTGTTTAAGTGATTCCTAAAGTCCTTTTAAATGTAATTACACGAACAATAATACTTTAAGAGACAATTTTTAAATATTTTTTTCCATAAATCATGGTTATATTTTACCATTTTGGGAGGGGGCAGCTTCAGCCATAAAGTCCCCTCCCCGTAGATCCCCGAAGGTCTTAACAAGATATTAATTTTACAATGACCCAGTAGTGGGTCCAGGATTTAATTTGGGAGGCTTATCATTATTATTATTTTTTTAAATAATAATAATTAGTATGGAGGAAAAACACTAGAGAAAAAAAAAAAGAAAAAAACTACTTCAATAAAATTTTGTTAAAGTTGTCAAAGAAAAAAAAAAATATAAAAGATAATAATAAAATAAATAAAAAAATATATAGTCCATGGTACAGACCCCCTTTTTATCGAATTATTAACATCCGGCTGAAACTTCGTAAATAGTTTCATCTCATCGTAACTATTTTATTTACGAAAACTCTTGGAATTGGGTCGTTTTCAATCTGGAGGGGGGCAAACTTTGTCTATTTGATAAGGTACTAAATACTTGTAAACATCCGTTGTCCTTCTACTTGGATCGTAAGATAATTTGATCACAAAATTGACAAAAATATTGGACCCTTTGTCATATATAACCTCGTTATTTGGAAAATTTGGGGGTGTATGCCAAGCAGCTCACTATTTTTGAAGGCTACTTTAGTTATTTACGAGTTATGGGTATTTAGGAGGTTTTAGTACCTAATCAGATAGACAAAGTTTGCCCCCCTCCAGATTGAAAACGCCCCAAAAGAGTTTTCGTAAATAAAATAGTTGTAGTTTACGATGAGATGAAGCTATTTACGAAGTTTCAGGCGGATGTTAATAATTCGATAAAAAGGGGTCTGTACCACGGACTAATAGTAACAATAATGCTTTTCGAGGTAAATTTATTTTATTTTTTCTTGACACGTATTTGCATTTAGGTACTGCATATCCATTAAATTTAAAAATATAATATCGTCACTATGTTCATTTTTAAAACAGCTGAACTTTTAAGAAGGTTTTGTAAATTTCTAATTTCTAATTATTCGTTAATAAAAAATATTTTTAAAAATCCACAAAAATAACACATATCCTTTTATACATCAATAGAAACTCATCGAAGTTCTTAGTGATTTTATGTCTCTTAATGACTTTTTGAAATAAACTGTCAATATATTGTGATGGTTTAAGTATATAGGTTAATGTTAGATCCCTCATATAAACAAATATGGACCAATAAGAAAAAAACAAATTTTTAATTTTTCCATTTTGAGAGAGGATTATTATTATTATAAAATTACAACCTCAAATAAAAACTTAGTATTTTTTTTTTAAATATTTTTATTCATTGTGTAATTTTAATGATTTGTCGAAAAACAGATATGGTGATTGTAAAATTTGTTTATATGCTGAGTAATGTATACAAATGTGCCTTGTGTCAGTTATAATCAAGGTTCAAGTAACGTAATACACAGTTCAAGTAGTTTATGTACACGTGGCATAAAAATATTTTAAATGGTCTTCGAGAGTTTTTGGGTTTTTTTATCATCTCAAGAAAACTGAAGCACTCTCGATTGTATTTAGTTATGTTCTGTAACATATTGTGTAAAATTTCACTTTTTTTTTCTATCTAAATATACATTAAACGTATGTTTATGTTTTTTAAATGGATTGTGTTTCTCGTCTATGGTTTCCCTTTTCTTTTAATTGTTTTTTTTTTAACTGGTTACTAAGTTGAATTTCACGTTCCGTGTAAATTAATCTTTTCTTAATGTCATATAAATACATTACCTCTTTTTTTTATTCTTACATAAAAGCTAATAGAATGCATGTATGAATTGCTAAAGTGAGTAATTAGAAAATATAAAGAGTTATAGGAAGAGTGTAATATTTTAAAAATAGCATTTATCCTCGTAATTTATTTATTTAATTTATTTATGTTCAATTAATTTCATGAAGGGCTTCAAACTAATGCAAACATCTTAATTTTTAACGGGGTTACAATATGTCGTAAATTATATATATATAATATTCT